GTAATACTTGCTATCAAAGTTATATTTCATTTATTTTTAATATTTATAATATTGAATAATTTTATAGAATAATTTTATAGAATAATTTTTCAGTTGATGGTCAAGTTATTAGTAGCATTGGAAATGGTCTCTGCATCTTAATTGGCATAAAAAGAGATGATACAATAGAAGACATAAAATATATGTAATATATGTATATAATATTATTATACAATATCATAATTACTTTAAATAAAACAGTTCATTCTTATATAAAATATGAAATAAAATTTTATTTTTCTTAGAGTAAAAAAAATATTAAATACTAAAATTTTTGATGATGATAATAAGAAATGGAATGCTAATGTTATGGATAAACAATATGAAATATTATGTATTAGTCAATTTACATTGTACCATGCTTTAAAAGGAAATAGATTAGATTTTCATAAAGCTATGTCTGCTCAAGATGCTGGACCATTTTATAATAAATTTCTTATTGAACTTGGTAAAAATTATAAACCAGAATTAATTAAAGGTAAATAATTAAAAAATATAAACAAATAATTTTATAAGAATATAAAATTATTGAAATATTTTCATTTTATTGAATACTTTCTACAGATGGTAAATTTGGAGCAATGATGGAAGTTGATATAAAAAACAATGGACCTGTAACATTAGAAATAGAATCATCACTTAAATTTAATAAATTAAATGAATCTAATAATGTATAATGAATGGTGGAATTTAAAATTAATACATAAATATGTAATAGATACTATTAGTTTTTAAAATACCTCCCCTTTCTATTTAATATTTTTTATAATAAATTTATCTTTCATAATATATTTAAGAAATATTGTTTTTGATTATATAAAAATTAAATCAAAATAATTTTTTTAATTTTAAAATAATTAAATCAATATAATTTTATAAATATAGCTTTTAATATAATATTACAAATATAATAATTTCTTTAACAGTTTTGTTTTAAAAATTTGATTTTTTTCTTCAAAAATATTTAATTCATTATATTTATTTTTTTTATTTAAAATTTTTATATAATATTGATGAATAAAACCATAAGTTTATATATCTCGCATTTTTACGTTAGTAAATTATAAATATAAAATTTAAATAGCTAAAGATATGTATGTAATATTTCGTATTTATTTTTTTTATTTGTTAGTATTATAAGTATTATTTATAATATTTTATAATTTGTTTTATAAATGTTATTCGATTTATGAAAATTAAATATTTCTAAAAAATTTTTTTTCAATATTATAAAATATAAATTCCATATAAAAATATAAAATATTATGATGATATTATTGTGAGAAATATATCTAATATCATTTTTTTAAACCATCAATGCAAGAAATTTTATATTGAAATGAATTTTAAATTTCACTTCAATATATAAATCATATTTGGTTTTGTATAATAATAAACTCAAATTAAGTTTTGTACAATTAAGATGAAATTTTTATTAAATATGAAATTCAATTAAAATAAATATGGAAAATTTTATATAATTTAAAATGTATACGTATGTACGTATATATGTATATGCGTATCATATGCAAAACTCATACACGAATATTATAAATCATTTTGCAATATATTAATGTTTTTATTTTTTATATTTAAATCTTTTGCTAAAAATACTATAATGTACTTTTACTATTTTTTATGAATATTTCTATTATTTTCAAAATATTTATTACTAAAATAAATAAAATGTTAATTCATGTTTAAAAATCATATTTAAATTATTATATGGTAAATTTACAACAATTATTAATTTTTATTTCAGTTATAAATTTTATTATATAAATATATATATTATATTATACATGTATATGTATATTATTAAAAAATGATAAAATATAATGAAAATACATAATGAAAATCATTTAAAAAATTTTAAATATTAATTTAATTATAACATTCACATATTTATCTAAAATATCTAATTATTTAATTTTCACTTCTTATTAAAACATGATGGAAAACGAAAAAGAAGAAGAAAAATCAGCAGATATAGAAAATAAATATTTAGAAGGTACAGACATATAATATTATCATTATTAAAATAATCTTAAAATAATAAATAATTTAATTTTTGAAATTAATAATTATTAATTTTTTAAAATTATTAATAATAAGTTAATAATAATAATGAATAATTTTATTTCAGATAAATCTGATTTTTCTTCACAAATAAAAAATACAAAAAATGTTCAATTACGGAAAACTAAAGCTACGAATACTACAAACGATGAGTTATTTAATCTACGACATACACAAGTATAATAATATAATAATAATATAATAATAATATTGTGCAAATTTCAATATAATTTAATATAGTATATTATTATTTTTAAATATTTATTTTTCAGTCGCGGGAAATTCAAACGGATATTGTTGATATAGAAACAATAGAAAAATTAAAAAATCGGCTAGATACTTTAATGAATTCTTTAGCTACTCTTTCAGCAGAAAAATCTAAAATGGAAGCAAATTTTCAACAAGATAAAAAGCAATTAAGAAATGAACGAGATGAAGTGAGTTCTATATATATATATATATGTATATTAATTTTATATTTATTAATATAAAATATTTATAGTGTGAGAAAATAATTAAAGATTTAAAAGAAAAATTAAAAAAAGCACAAACAAATTATTCAGAAATTGAACATGTAAAATGTAAATTAATTATGGAACGTCACGAAAGGGAAAAAGAACAAGCTGATCATGCAAAAATGATAAAGTATTAAAAAAAAAAATATATATATAATAATTATAAATAGTTTTGAAAAATTTTAATAT